CCAGTCTGGGCAACAACAGTGAAACTCCGTCTCAAAAAAAAAAAAAAAAAGAATAGCTAAAAAGTCTTTCTCCTCTTCTCTCCCTCTCCTAACCTGTCTTGCCATGCTCCAAGCTCCTCTTCTTTCTGTAACCCTTAGGTGGTAAAAAAGCATCAATTATCTGGCTCTTTCTTTGAGTTTTTAAAATCTGTGTTCCTCCCATGCATGCATTATTACATTAGTAAGTTTTGTCTGCTTTCCTCCTATTAATCAACCTTTGTCAGTTGATATCTAGTGAACCTTCAGAAGGCAAAGGAGTTTTCTCTTGGCTCCTACAACTCCCTCTATAAGAATATTAGCCATGAGAGGCCAGGCGCAGTGGCTTATGCCTGTAACCCATGCACTTTGGGAGGCTGAGGCGGGTGGATCACCTGAGGTTAGGGGTTCAAGACCAGCCTGACCAACATGGTGAAACCCTATCTCCACTAAAAATACAAAAAATTAGCCGGGCATGGTGGCAGGTGCCTGTAATCCCAGCTACTTGGGAGGCTGAGGCAAGAGAATCACTTAAACCCAGGAAGCAGAGGTTGCAGCGGGTGGAGATCGTGACATTGCAATCCAGCCTGGGCAACGAGCAAAAACTCCATCTCAAAAAAAAGAAAAAGAACATCAGCCATGAGAGAAAGGCTCTGACTAGGTCTCTGCTACATTCCTAGATCCTAGAACACAATTGAACCCACCGATGGACACAAAAGAAAAAAAAATGAAAATGAATGGTAAGAGTTATCAGTCAGGATTTTCCAAAGAAAGAGAGATAGAGAGAGGTTCAGGAATTATCTCACATTATTGTGGGCACTGGCATGTCCAGAATCCATGGGGCAGACCAACAGGTTGGAAACTCAGGCTGAATTCTTTCTCCTTTGGAAAACTTCAGTTTTTTGTTTTTAAGATAAGATCTCATTCTGTTGCCCAGGCTGGAGTGCAGTGGCACAAACATGGCTTACTGCAGCCTTGACCTTCTTGCCTCCCAGGCTGAAGTGCAATGGTGCAATCTCGGCTCACTGCAACCTCTGACTCCCAGGTTCAAGCGACTCTCTTACCTCAGCCTCCCAAGTAGCTGGTATTACAGGTGACGGCTACAATGCCTGGCTAATTTTTTGTATTTTTAGTGGAGACAGGATTTCTCCATGTTGGCCAGGCTGGTCTCGAACTCCTGACCTCAGGTGACCCACCTGCCTCAGCCTCCCAAAGTGCTGAGATTACAGGCGTGAGCCACCATGCCCGGCCGAGAGTGTATTTTTAACTTTATTTCGGAATAATTTCAAGCTTACAGAAATATTGCGAGAATAGTACAAATAACCACTGTGTACTCTTTAGTAGTTTGACTAATATTTAACATTTTGCTATATTTGCTTTTTCTCTCTCGTTTTCTACATGCGCGCGTGCGCACGCACACACACACACACACAATTTTCTTCTTTTTTTTTTTTTTAAACAGTATCTTACTCTGTTGCCCAGGCTGTAGTACAATGGCATGATCATAGCTCACTGCAGCCTTGATTTTCTGAACTCAGGTGATTCTCTCACTTCAGCTTCTAGAGTAGCTGGGACTATAGGCACTCACCACCATGCCAGGCTAATTTTTTGTAGAGATTGGGTTCTGCCATGTTGCCCAGGCTGGTCTTGAATTCCTGAGCTCAAGCAATCCACTCAACTTGGCCTCCCAAAAGTGCTGGGATTACAGGCATGAGCCATCGAGCTCCACCGCAAATTTTTAATCATTTGAGAGTAGGATGCATAGATCATGTTTCTTTCTTCCTCAGTACTTCAGGATTTCCTAAGAACAAGGACGTTCTCTCATGTAACCACATATCAACCACATATGGTATAGTTATCTAATTCAAATATTGATATAATTTTTTGTCTTATCTACAATCCATATTTCAATTTTGTAAATTGTCCCAGTAATGTCCTTTATTGCAATTCTAAAAATAACGTTTAAGGCCAAGCACAGTGGCTCATGCTTTTATCCCAGAATTTAGGGAGGCCAAGTCAAGAGGATGGCTTGAGGCCAGAGTTCGAGAACATCCTAGGCAGCATAGCGAGACCCTGTTTCTACAAAAATAAATAAATAAATAAAGCGTAAGGGGAAGACATTCTGTGATACAGAATGAGGTGTTGCCTGATGAAAGATTAAAAAAAAAAATCAAAGATTCGGTCTAGGATTATGTGTTGTACTGAATGCCACATCTTTTCACTCCTCCTTAATTTGCAACAGACTCTCAGTCTTTCCTTTTTTGTTTGTTTTTCACGACACTGACATTTTGCGCTATTTTATTTTGTTTTGAGACAGAGTTTTGCTCTTGTTGCCCAGGCTGGAGTGCAACGGCACAATCTTGGCTCACCGCAACTTCTACCTTGTGGGTTCAAGAGATTCTCCTGCCTCAACCTCCTGAGTAGCTCAGATTACAGGCACATGCCACCACGCCAGGCTAATTTTTGCACTTTTTTTTTTTTCCAGACAGAGTCTCGCTCTGTCACCCAGGCTGGAGTGCAGTGGCACGATCTTGGCTCACTGCAACCTTCGCCTCCTGGGTTCAAGCGATTCAGCCTCCCAAGTAGCTGGTATTATAGGCACATGCCACCATGCCTGGCTAATTTTCATATTTTTAGTAGAGACAAGGTTTTACCTTGTTGGTCAGGTTGGTCTCGAACTCCTGACTTTGTGATCCACCCGCCTCGGCCTCTCAAAGTGCTGGGATTACAAGCATGAGACATTGCACCCGGCTTAATTTTTGTATTTTTAGTAGAGGTGGGGTTTCACTATGTTGGCCAGGCAGGTCTTGAACTCATGACCTCAGGTGATCTGCCCACCTTGGCCTCCCAAAGTATTGGGATTAGAGTCGTGAACCACGTCGCCTTGCCTGACATTGACGTTTTTGAAGAACATAGTTTAGTTATTAAAATAACTTTCTTTCCTTCTTTTTCTTTTCTTTCCCTCCCTCCCTTCCTTTCTTTCTCTTTCTTTTTTTTTGGGTGGGGGGACAGAGTCTTGCTCTGTCCCCTAGGCTGGAGTGCAGTGGTGCAATCTCGGCTCACTGCAACCTCTGCCTCCCAGGTTCAAACTATTCTCCTGTCTCAGCCTCCTGGGTAGCTGGAACTACAGGTGCCTGCCACCACGCCCAGCTAATATTTTGTATTTTTAGTAGAGATGGGGTTTTACTGTTAGCCAGGATGGTCTCAATCTCTTGACCTCATGATCCACCCACCTCAGCCTCCCAAAATGCTGGGATTACAGGCATGAGCCAGCAAGCCCTGCCTAGAATGACTTTCAATTTGGAGTTGTCTGATGTTTCTTCACAATTAGATTGATCTTTCTGAAAAGGTTTTATTGTGTACAGAGAGGGGAGGGGGCTGCAGTGAAGAAATTGCCAAGATGGGATAGTGCAAAGTCCCGGCTGTTGCTCTCCAGGGCTGCTGTGGAAGAAGGGCCCCAGCCACATGGAACTCTCGGATTCACAACTAGATCTGAACAATGCATTTTTTTTTGTCTGAGATGGAGTCTCACTCTGTTGCCTAGGCTGGAGTGCAGTGGCGTGATCTCACTCCAACTTCTGCCTCCTGGGTTCAAGCAATTCTCTGCCTCAGACTCCTGGGAAGCTGGGATTATAGGAGCCTGCGACCAAGCCCTTCTAATTTTTTTTTTTTTTTTTTTTTTTTTTATTTAGTAGAGATGGGGTTTCACCATGTTGGCCAGGCTGATCTTGAACTCCTGACCTCTTGATCCACCGCCTTGGCCTCCCAAAGTTCTGAGATAATAGGCGTGAGCCTGTGCCAGGCCAAACAATGCATTTTTATCTGGAATATTATGCAAGCGATGTACTAATAATAGTAACCATGGTTCCATAGCTGTACTATGACTATATGGATGAAACAATGAAGCCAAAGTGCTTCATCTTTTAGTCTCCCACATCTCAGCTTATCTCAGTTGAACTGTTATTATTTCAGCTCAAGTTCTATCTATTCCCCAGCTCCAAGCAGCCAACACAGACTTCTCCTTTTCTGAAGTACTCAATCACTTGTCTAATTCACACATTTAGCTACTGCATAATATGTCTCTGTGCATTGCTCATTATCATTGCATAAGTAGACATCTCACTTTCCTGTCCTTGAAGGCAGAAGCTCTGTTTATTTTATTCTTCTGAATACTCCATAGTTCCCACTCAGTGTAAATTTTCAGTAACTACAAGCTGTTGCTTAAGAGATCTTAATGGCTAGGCGTGGTGGCTCACACCTGTAATCCCAGCACTTTGGGAGGCTGAGGCAGGCAGATCATGAGGTCAGGAGTTCGAGACCAGCGTGACCAACATGGTGAAGCCCTGTAGCTACTAAAAATACAAAAAATTAGCCAAGTGTGGAGGCACATGCCTGTAATTTTAGCTACTCAGGAGGCTGAGGCCGGAGAATCACTTGAACCCAGGAGGCGGAGGCTGCAGTGAGCTGAGATCATGCCACTACACTCCAGCCTGGGCGACAGAGACTTCTCAAAAAAAAAAAAAAAAAAAAAAAAAGAGATCTTAATGATTTGGGTTTTCTGATACTGCTGATTAGTGTAGAATTGTGGTTGAAACAGCAGGATCACCTATGCACATCCATAGTGAGTCTGTCCCTGGCTCACACAAGATTTTTAACCTGGCAGGGCATGGTGGCTCACGCCTATAATCCCAGCACTTTGGGAGGCTGAGGTGGGCACATCACGAAGTTGGGAGTTAGAGACCAGCCTGGCCAATGTGGTGAAACCCCGTATCTACTAAAAATACAAAAATTAGTTAAGCGTCGTGGCGTGTGCTTGTAGTCCCAGCTACTTGGGAGGCTGAGGCAGAAGAATCCCTTGAACCCGGGGGTGGAGGTTGCAGTGAGCCAAGATCGCACCACTGCACTGCACTCCAGCCTGGGTGACAGAGCCTGTCTCAAAAAAAAGAAAAAAGATTTTTTTTGAGACGGAGATTCACTCATGTTTTTTTTTTTTTTTTTTTTTGCACTTACAAAGCAGCTGAGTCATTTAATGGCATTAGGAAAGCATTTCTTTAAACAAGGGAGGCGATCCTGAACACACTAGTCTCACTGAGTTTATAAAAACTTGAGCTCACCAAACTCCGCATCATCTCTACACAGCTTAACCCCATGGACAGGAGCAAGAATTCGAGTTAAATGAATGGAACCAGTCCAGCTACAAGACGATAAAGGGAAACAGAGTGTGGGGATTTGCAGTTTTTGCTTTTACATTACAAAGTTTCCAACGCAAGAAGCCAACAATACCCCAGAGCAGCACCAAGTTACTTCCGACTGTTTCCCAAGGCACAAAAATCAGTAGTCCAAGTTCTAAGAACATTTCCTGGAAAATAAGAACGTACCTCCTGTGGCTCTGTGCACGGCCTGCCCTTGATGTATCAAGTTCTTAAGTACCTACAGCCGTTTGACACTCTTCGGGAGAGCACCCTCAGAGAATCTTCAGCATCAGGTCTCAGTTTTCCCATCTGTAAGAGACAGCCGTGGAGAGTGGGAGAGCCGCTAGGCTTCCAGATCGAAGTCATCGTGCTCCTCGTTGTACTTCAGCACGTGTCGCTTGATCTTGGACGAGTCGACCCAAGTGACAAAGTCCTCCATGCTGCGCGTGACAAGGAAGGCAGGGTCGGTAACCACGTCAGGGCCCACGCGTATGTGGCCTTGCTCCACAAAGGCCACGGCAGCCTGAAGGTGCTGCGCCATGCGCAGCTTGAGGAGCAAGGTGGGAAGGCGGCGGCGGCAGAAGGAGGAGGCCCTGATGAAGTCGCAGGGCTCCAGTGAACCGCGCGTGGGCACCAGGCCGAGAGCACACAGCTTGTCCGGCAGCGCGGCGGAAGTGCGCATGCGGAACGGGTCACGCTCCGCAGGTCGCGCAGGCGCCGCGCCAGGTCACGCACGGCACGGTTCAGCTGGTTGCAGCGCGTGTAGTCCTCCCGCCGCTGCTGCCGGTAACGCCGCAACACGCGCAGCTCGTGCAGGTTGCTATCGGTGACCTCCCAGTTCAGGAAGTCCACCTGCTTCAGCAGCTTCTGCACGTGGAACTTAAGCTTCCGCACCGTGATGGTGGAAGCCTCAGCGGCAGGGCTAAAGTTCAGCTTTTTATTGAACACATTGTAGAAGAGGTTTAGTCAGAAAGACCAAAGCCCATGTCATCATCAGACTCCTCGGATTCTTCTTTCTTAGCTTCCACTTTCTTCTCCTTAGCTGGAGCAGCGGCAGTGGAGGGGCAGGACCTCCTGCTGGTGCAGCACCATCTGCTGGAGCAGGCCCACCAGCCCCTACATTGCAGATGAGGCTCCCGATGTTGACGATGTTGACGTTGGCCGGGGCCTTATGCAAACAAGTCAGGCCAAAAAGGTTCAACATTTACACCGGCTGCTTTAATGAGGACATTGATCTTATCCTCCGCGACAGTCACCTCATCGTCGTGCAGAATGAGGGCTGAGTAGATGCAGGCGAGCTCGGAGACGGAGGCCACGGTGCGGGTGAGTGTGGGGCTGGCGCTGCCGGACGCGGTGCTAGTCGCCGGATGAAGTGAGGGCCTCACCCCAACGAAGCCTTAGCTTCCTCCGAAGGACCGAGCACCTTGGCGGTAGCTGAGGAAAAACAAAACAAACAAACAAACAAAATATATTTTTAACCTCTGTTTTTGGAGATGGAGTCTTGCTCTTTTGCCCAGGATGGAGTGCAGTGGCACAGTCTCAGCTCGCTGCAACCTCTGCTTCCCAGATTCAAGCAATTCTACTGCCTCAGCCTCCCGAGTAGCTGGGATTATAGGCCCATGCTACCATGCCCAGCTAATTTTTTTGTATGTTAGTAGAGACGGGGTTTCACCGTGTTGCCCAGGCTGGCCTCAAACTCCTGAGCTCAGGCAATCCACCTGCCTCTTGGCCTCCTGAAGTGCTGGGATTACAGGTGTGAGCCACCATGCCCGGATAATCTCTGTTTTTAAGAAAATTCTAATGAATCCATATACAGCCATGTATTGCTTAATGACAGGGATATATTCTAAGAAATGCATCGGTAGGTGACTTTTGCCGTAGGAACGTCGTAAAGTACTTATATAAACCTGGTTGATACAGCCTACTACACACCTAGGCTGTGTGGCATAGCCTGTTTACAAACCTGTACAGCATGATACTGTACTGAATACTGTAAGCGATTGTAACGCCATGGTATTTGTGTATCTAAACACATGTAAACTCAGAAAAGATACAGTAAAAGTGTGGCATACAAGTTAAAAAATGGCATGCCTGTATAGGGCACTTATCATGCCTGAAATTTGCAGGACTGGAAGTTGTTCTGGGTGACTCAGTGAATGAGTGGTGATTGAATGCAAAGGCCTAGCATATTACTGAACATTACTGTAGACTTTATAAACACTACACTTAAACTTCACTAAATTTATAAACTTTTTTTCTTTAATAACAAGTCAACCTTAGCTTACTGTAACTTTTTTTTTCTTTATGTGTATTTTTTGAGACAGTCTCACTCTGTTGCCAGGCTGGAATGCAGAGGCATGATCTCGGCTCACTGAATGAGACCTCTGCCTCCTGGATCAAAGTGGTTCTCACGCTTCAGTCTCCCAAGTGGTTGGGATTACTGTAACTTTTTTACTTTATACACTTTAAAATTTTTGTTTGTTTGTTTGTTTTTGAGACGGAGTTTTGCTCGTTACCCAGGCTGGAGTGCAATGGCGCGATCTCTGCTCACCACAACCTCTGCCTCCTGGGTTCAAGCAATTCTCCTGCCTCAGCCTCCCGAGGAGCTGGGACTACAAGCGCATGCCACCACGCCCAGCTAATTTTTACATTTTTAGTAGAGACGTGGTTTCACCATGTTGACCAGGAGGGTGTCGATCGCTTGACCTCGTGATCCACCGGCCTTGGCCTCCCAAAGTGCTGGGATTATAGGCGTGAGCCACCGCGCCTGCCCACTTTTAAATTTTTAAAAAAATTTTGACTCTTGTAATAACACTTAGTTTAAAACACACATTGTACATCTGTACAAAACTGTCTTGCTTTATATTTTTTGATATGCTTTTTCTATTTAAAAAAATTTTTATTTTTAACTTTTTAAATTTTTGTGTTAAAAACTAAGACACAAACACATACATTAGCCGAGGCCTACACAGGGACAGGAGCATCAACATCACTGTCTTGCATCTCCATATCTTGTCCCATTGGAAGGTCTTCAGAGGCAATAATATGCATGAATCTGTCATTTCCTATAATAAAAATGCCTTCTGGAATATAGCCTGAACTTGCCTTAGGCTGTTTTACAGTTAGCACTTGTTTTTTTTTTAAAATAGTAAGAGTACACTCTAAAATAATAAGTATAGTATAGTAAATACATAAACCAGGAATGTGGTCATTTATTATTATCAAGCAGTAGGTATTGTGCATAATTGTATGTGCTATATTTTTATATGACTAGCAGTGCAGTAGGTTTGTTTATACCAGAGTCACCAGAAACACATGCAGTACAACATTATGATGGCTACAATGTTATAGGCTATAGGAATTGTTCAGCTCCTTTATAATCTTATTTATTTATTTATTTTTGAGATGGAGTCTTACTCTTCACCCAGGCTGCTGGAGTACAATGGCGCGATCTCTGCTCACTGCAACCTCCGCTTCCCAGGTTCAAGTGATTCTTCTGCCTCAGTATTTGGAGTAGCTGAGATTATAGGCCTGCACCACAGGCGTGGGCCTGGCTAATTTTGTATTTTTAGTAGAGATGGGGTTTCACTGTGTTGCAGAACACTTAAGATCTACTCTTTTAGCAAATTTCGAGTACACTACCACAGTATTGTCAACTTTAGTCACCATCTTGTACATTATATCCCCAGAATTTATTCATCTTATAACAGAACGTTTGTATCCTTTGACCCTCCATTTCAGACACCCCTCAACCCTGGCAATCCCAGTGTCCCAGTGTACCTCCTGCTTCTGTGAGTTTGACTTTTTTAGATTTCCACATGTAAATGAGATCATACAGTGTTTGTTTTCTGTATCTGTCTGATATTTAAACTGTATTGCAGGGCCGGGCGCAGTGGTTCATGCATGTTAATTCCAGCACATTGGAAGGCTGAAGCAGGCAGATCACCTGAGGTCAGGGGTTCGAGACCAGTCTGGGCAACATGGTGAAACCCCGCCTCTACTAAAAATGCAAAAATTTGCTGGGCATGGCAGCACCTGCGTGCAATCCCAGCTATTTGGGAGGCTGAGCATGAGAATCACTTGAACTTGGGAGACGGAGGTTGCAGTGAGCTGACATCATACCATTACACTCTAGCCTGGGCAACAGAGTGAGATTCTGTCTCAAAATAAACAAACAAACAAACAAACTATATTACAGTTTTGTAATACAGCTTAAAATGATAAAGTATGATATATATTTTTTTTCTTTTTCTTTTTTTTTTTTTTTAGGCAGAGTTTTGCTTAGTCACCCAGGGTGGGGAGCAGTGGCACAATCTCATCTCACTGCAGTCTCCGCCTCCCAGACTCAAGCCATTCTCCTGCCTCAGCCTCCCAAGCAGCTGGGATTACAGGTGCCTGCTACCATGCCCGGCTAATTTTTGTATTTTTAGTAGAGGCAGGGTTTCACCCTGTTGGTCAGGCTAGTCCCTGACCTCAGGTGATCCACCTGTCTCAGCCTCCCAAAGTGCTGGGATTACAGGTGTGAACCACCACCCCCAGTGGAAGTGTGATATTTCTGGCTTTGATCATTTTGCCCATGATTGCCTTGACTGTTCAGGTTTTTTTAATTTTTAATACGAATTTTAGGATGAAAAAAATTCTATAAAAATGACATTGAAATTTTGATAGGGATTTCATTGAATCTGTAGATTGCTTTGGATAGTATGAACATTTTTACAATATTGATTCTTCTAATCCATGAACATAGAATATATTTTCTTTTATTTGTGTCTTCTTCAAGTTTTTTCATTAATGTCTTACAGTTTTTCTTTTATTTTTAAGACGGAATTTCACTCTTGTCATCCAGGCTGGAGTGCAGTGGTGTGATCTCAGCTCACTGCAACTTCCACCTCCTGGGTTGAAGCAATTCTCCTGCCTCAGCCTCCCAAGTAGCCGGGACTACAGGCATGTGCCACCATGCCTGGGTAATTTTTTTGTATTGTTAGTAGAGATGGGGTTTCACCATATTAGCCAGGCTGACCTCGAACTCCTGACCTCAGGCAATCCACTCACCTCAGCCT